AAACCCAATCTCTACTAAAAATACAAAAATTAGCCAGGTGTGGTGGCGGGCACCTGTAATCCCAGCTGCTTGGGAGGCTGAGGCAGGGGAATCGCTTGAACCTGGGAGGTGGAGGTTGCAGTGAGCCAAGATCGCACCACTGCACTCCAGCCTAGGTGACAGAGTGAGACTCAATAAATAAATTAATAAATAAATAAATAAAACAAATAGGTCCCAGGTAGAAACTTGTTTACAAGTCACTTGACTCATAAAAGTAGAGTAAGGGTGGCCGGCGCGGTGGCTTATGCCTGTAATCCCAGCACTTTGAGAGGCCAAGGTGGCGGATCACCTGAGGTCAGGAGTTCGAGACCAGCCTAGCCGACATGGCAAAACCCTGTCTCTACTAAAAGTACAAAACTTAGCCGGGCATGGTGGCATGTACCTGTAATCCCAGCTACTCAGGAGGCTGAGGCCAGAGAATCGCTGGAACCCAGGAGACAGAGGCTGCAGTGAGCCGAGATGGCGCCACTATACTCCAGCTTAGGTGACAGAGCAAGACTCCATATCAAAAAATATATATAGAGAGAGTAGGGGCAAACTGGCTCAGCCATGGAATTCTGCAGCTCTGCTGACCGCTCCAGGCAGAGAGCACAGCCTGTGCCCAGACCAGAGGGGAGAGGCAGTGTGCAGTGTCATGGTCACCCCTGACCCCGGCCTCTACCCATCCCACCCTGGTCCATTCTCAACACGGCAGCCACGAGGGATCTTAAAATGGAAATAAGATCATGTCAGCCTCTTCTCAGAACCTTCAAGGATTGCCCACTACCCTTGGAATAAAATCCAAACACTTCCACAATTCATGTGGCCCTGAGCCAAGCTGGTCTTTTCTCTACCTCATGGCCTCTGCACATACTGTTCCCTCTGCCTGAAACACTATTCCCTACTCTTCATGTGGCTGGCTCTTCTTCATCTGCAGGTCTAAAATTAAATGTCACCTCCTCTGGGAAGTCCTCCCTGACCACCCCCACCCATTCTCTACCCTGGTCCTGTGTCACTTTCCTTCCTGACTTGAATCACTGTTGGGAAATATGTTATCTAGTTGTTCATGAGATTTCTGTATACTGTTCCTACTCAAGTGAGGATGGGTGGAGATCAGGTTGTCTCCCACTGAGGCAAAGAGAAGCTCAGGAAGGGGAGGGGCTGTGTCTGCCTTGTTGACCACTCTATCCCCAGGGTCCTCCCATGGACCAGTGCCTATTGGCCAGCAACTGCTCAGTATCTGTCCAGCAAAGGGCTATGGCCGGAGCCTGGCCTGCCCTGAAGCTGGAGAATAAGAGAAGCCGTGACCCAGAGATTTGTCGTTTTCCCTTCTCCCCCTTGACACAAACTACAAGCTCCAGGAAAAGGCGTAAGTTGTGTCTAACTTGTTCACCATGGCACCCCCAATACCTTGCCCTGTGCGTGGCACCCACAGAGGCCTCTGCTAAATGCGGGTTAAGCACGTTTTCATCCCAAGTACTCCAGTACAGAAAACTGGAGTTTTCTGTAATCACACAAGAACAGTATTAAGTGAGATTGTTCATCCACAGGAAGTGGAATCTTGTCGGATGTAACCTATTTTCCCCAATAGAGCCCTGCCCAGAGTTGATAGAGAGCTTAAGTTAAATATATACTCCAAGCTGGGCGCAGTGGTGCACGTCTGTAGACTCAGCTGCTCTGGAGGATGAGGCAGCAGGATCGCCTTTACCCAGCAATTTGAGGTTCTACTGTACAATGATCATGCCCGTCAATGCCACTGCACTCCAGCCTGGGCAACATAGCAAGACCCTGTCTCTGAAATACACACACACATGCACACACTCTAGACATGAATTATTTTACAACTGCAGAAATGGGAATATGAAATAATATTATCTCCTGGGCTAATTTGTCTCTCAATGGAGACATTTAAGCCACCAGGAAGAACACAAGGCACTGGGCCCTGGAGTTGGATGATCAGGGCTCAGACCCTGGATCAACCTATGTGACCTGGGGCAAGTCATTTAATCGCTCCAAGACCCCATTTCTTCTTCTGCAAAATGGGCACATGTGCAGTAAATAATTAACCTGGGCCCAAAGAATTGACCCTTTGCCCCTCCTGGGTCAAAGCACCTGGGAAATAAATTCTAAGCCCTTGGAATGTTTTGCCTGTTAAGAGTGTCTTTGTGGTGGGTGCAGTGGCTCATGCCTGTAATCCCAGCATTTTGGGAGGCAGAAGTGGGCAGATCACTTGAGGTCAGGAGTTCAAGACCAGCCTGGCCAACATGGTGAAACCCTGTCACTACTAAAAATACAAAAATTAGCCGGTCGTGGTTGCAAGTGCCTGTAATCCTAGCCACTCGGAAGGCTGAGGCAGGAGAATTGCTTGAACCTGGGAGGTGAGATCACACCACTGCACTCCAACCTGGACGGCACAGCAAGACTCTGTCGCAAAAAATTAAAAATAAAATAAAAATTAGAAAAAGACTAAAGTCAGTCACACGAGTAGTCAGCCATGGCTACGCAACTGACCGCCAGTAAAACCTCTGGATAGGAAGGCTCAGGAGCTCTTCTCAGGTCGGCATACTCTATGTACTGTCATTCATCGCTGCTGAGAGAAGCTGGCCCTGTCTGTACAACCCCACGGGGAAAGGGCACCCAGAAGTGGTGGCAGTGGCTGCTGCCATCACACTGGCTGCAGCAGGGAGGTGTGGCTGGGGCTGAACACTCCAGGGAGCTGGTGGGAGCCCCGCCCCTTCCGAGGCTGGGATCTCCTTGGGTGCCTCCACAGACTCCCAAACCGCAGCTGCAGACCCAGGCCTCCTGCTCTGTGGAGCAGGTGGGAGCCCCACCCTACTGGGCGGGGCTACAGCTGCCCAAACTGCAGCTGTGGATCAGAGCCTCCCTGTGCTCTTGGGGGAGGGCTAGGAGCAGGCAGGATCTGCCTTCCCAGGTGCAGCTGCGGCTGCCCTCCCAGGTGCAGGAGCTGGGTGTCTCTGCCGCCTGCACCCTCGGGGACCCCAGGAAGGACCCCCCACCAAGTCTCTGCAGGCTCAGGGCGTGTCTTCTCCTCCAGCCTGGTCTCTCTCCACTCCAGGGACCTGCTCAGATCTCTTAGAGGGGTTGGGGCCAAGCCTGTGGGCCATGAACGGCAGTAGGAGGCCGATTGATTCCTGGGTAGAAGGGGACAGGTTCCCAGTAGGGCCCCACTTGCGGGCCAGGGAGGGCCTGAAGGCTGCCGGCTGGGCTGCCAGTCCCTCAGACTGAGTAGGGACTCGTGGGGCCTCTTTCCGGCTGGCCCATGGCTGCCTGTGGACCAATCAGCACACACTTCCTCCCCTCTGAGGTCCACAAAAGCGCAGGGCACAGTAAAAGCCAGGCAGAGGACGGCCAGAGGAAGACGAGGGCAGAGAGACCATGGGATGAGTTGAGTACCCTCTCTGCTCAGAGCAGAGAGGGTGGGACGACCAGTGAGCAGAGAGAAGCTAACCACTCTGCTGAGAACTGCAGAGACCTTCGGAGACGTCCGAATGACTTGCTTGCAGAGAGGAGCCACCCTCTCCAGGGCCTCCTTTCTGCTGAGAGCTGAACACTCGGTGGGAAGACCTGTCTACAGAGAGGAGCTAGCCACTCCTTTGAGCTGTTCTAACACTAAATAAAACTCTTCCCCTTCTTCATCCTTCACTTGTCTGCATTCCTCATTCTTCCTGGACGCAGGACAAGAACTCCTAGAACTCAGGCAAAGGTGCCAGTGGCCACAGAGGTTTCCCACCAGAAAAATCAACACCCCAGAGATCCCATAACAGAAGCTTGCCCCTGGGTCTCTCCTGTACTGCACCCCGTACACCTCTTCCCTTGGCTGACTTTAACCCATGGCATTTAACCACGAGTATCACAGCTTTTCTGAGCTCTATGGGTCCTTCTGGTAAACTATCAAACCTGAAGGTGGTATTGGGCACCCTTGAACTTGGAGTTGCTGTCAATAGTGAAGGTAGTGTTGGAGACTCCTGAACCTTGTAGCACAAAAATAGCCTCTCTCTCATTGATCTCAAGAAGGTGAAATGAGGGCCGAGCACGGTGGCTCACACCTGTATTCCCAGGCACTTTGGGAAGCCAACGCGGGCGAATCACCGGAGGTCAGGAGTTCAAGATCAGCCTGGCCAACATGATGAAACCCTGTCTGTACTAAAAATACAAAAATTAGTTGGCTGTGCTGGTATGCGCCTGTAGTCCCAGCCACTCGGGAGGCTGAGGCGGGAGAATCGCTTGAACCTGGGAGGTGGAGGTTGCAGTGAGCTGAGATCACACCACTGCACTCTAGCCTGGGGGACACAGAGTGAGACTCTGTCTGAGGGGGAAAAAAAAAAAGGAGATGAAATGGGATGATGGCATGTGAAACCCTCAGCACAGGGCCAAGCCCAGAGTAAGTGCTCAGCAAAGACGTGTTACACCCACAGTGTCAACTGTTTGCAGGGTGGCTAAGTGCAGGGGCTCTGGAGGGTGAAATCCTGGCTCTGCTACTCATGCTATGGGACCTTAGACAAGTCACTCACTCCTCTGGACTTCACATCATCATCTAAAAGTCTTGTTAGAATGAGTTAATTAATAGACACAAATTCCCCAAGACAGTCCCGGCACACCACACACGCTCCCTGTCCTGGTTTTTATTACTGAAACAAGCACTGAGCTCTGAGTCAGAGGATGCCAGGCCCGGCCCTAAGTCTGGCCCCAGCCAGCCACATGAGCTCCAGCACTTGGCCTGCAGGAATGCCACTTCCTTCTTGAGAGAATGACAGCCCGAAATTCATGCTTTGGTGAAGGCTTTGGAAGGTTTTCTCGCTTCCAAAGTTGCCCAGTGTCACCCAGCAGGTTGGTTCTCAGTCTGCTCATTGGGGAAATGCCCAAAGCCTGATGCCAACCATAAAAGTGTGAGTGATTTACCTGTTAAAACTTCCGGTGCAGAGCTCAGCTTGTCCCTATCTGACGTGAAGGAGAGGCTCCATGGGAACACCGTGGGCTGAACACAGGCAAGACAGACGGCCCTGTGGGAGAGGAGGGAAGGGTGTGGGGAGATGCACCGCCCAGCCGCTGCCTCATCTACCTTCATTCACTCAGTATATTTCTTTTGAGTGCCTACTATGCACAATGGCCAAGACACAAAAAACCAACCATAAGTAAAGAAATAGAAGAAAAAAATAATCTCAGGTAGTAATCAGGCTCAGAAGAAAATGAAACAGAGTGGTGAAATACAGAGAGCCTGAGAGGACCTCTGATGAGGTCAGTGTGAAGAGATCATTCTCAAAAAAGGCAACATATATTTTAGGCCGGGTACGATGGCTCACACCTGTAATCCCAACACTTTGGGAGGCTGAGGCAGTGGGGGATAGCTTGAGCCCAGGAGTTCAAGATCAGCCTAGGCAACATGGTGAAACACTGTCTCTACTAAAAATATAAAACATTAGCCGGGCATGGTGGCCCATGCCTGTAGTCCCAGCTGCTCGGGAGGCTGAGGTGGGAGGATCACCTCTGCCCAGGAAGTTGAGGCTATAGTGAGGAGTGATTGCACCACTGTACTCCAGCCTGGGTGACTGGAGTGAGACCCTGTCTCAAAAATATATACATATATATATATATATATATATTTTGAGACAAAGTCTTGCTCTTATCCTCCAAGCTGGAGTGCAATGGCGCGATCTCGCTCACTGCAACCTCTGCCTCCCAGGTTCAAGTGATTCTCCTGCCTTAGCCTCCCGAGTAGCTGGGATTACAGGCGCCTGCCACCATGCCCGGCTAATTTTTGTATTTTTAATAGAGACAGGGTTTCACCATGTTGGCCAGATTTGTCTTGAACTCCTGACCTCAGGTGACCCGCCCACCTCAGCCTCCCAAAGTGCTGGGATTACAGGTGTGAGCCACTATGCCTGGCCTCAAAAAGATTTTAAATGATGAATCTCATGCCTATAATCCCAGCTGTAGCTGTAATATCAGTTACTCGGGAGGCTGAGGCAGGAGAATTGCTTGAGCCCAGTAGGCGGAGATTGCAATGAGCTGAGATCACGCCACTGCACTCCAGCCTGGGTGACAGAGTGAGACTCCCTCTCCAATAAATAAACAAATAAATAAAATGATGACTCTGTATTAAAGATTTTATTAACCCATTATTAGTGAGGGAACCAGGCAGAGGTTACAACCAGTTCAAAGAAGAAAGAAAGATACACTTCTAGATGAGGAATGTTCAAATGAATTTGCAAACAGACACCAAACTGGCTTCTTCCACAGTGGGGAAGGGAAGCCAGTGGAACCTCCCCTGAGGAAATTTATTTGCATGTCCATAGGCAGGAATCAGTTGCATTGCCGTAGGTTCTCTACAACTTAGAGCACTATAAAATAGCACAAAGGTGATGAAAGGCTGGAGTTAGACAGCAGGAAGCCTCTTCTCCAAACAATGCTTAGTTTTCCATTGAAGACATCAGTAACCTTTAAAAATTATCTTTTTGTTTATTCCAAATTTCTCTTTTTGCCGGGCACTGTGGCTCACACCTGTAATCCCAGCACTTTGGGAGGCCGAGGTTGGTGGATCACCTGAGGTCAGGAGTTGAAAACCAACCTGGTCAACATGGCGAAACCTCATCTGTACTAAAAATACAAAAATTAGCCAGGCGTGATGGCACATGCCTGTAATCCCAGCTACTCAAGAGGCTGAGGCAGGAGAATTGCTTGAACCAAAGAGGCGGAGGTTGCAGTGAGCTGAAATTGCGCCACTGCACTCCAGCCTGGGTAACAAGAACAAAATTCCACAGTAAAAAAAAAGAAAAAAGAAAAAAAAATAGCCACCACTCCTGGCTAATTTTTTAGTATTTTTTTTGTAGAGATGGAGTTTCACCATGTTGCCCAGGCTAGTCTCAAACTCCTAAGCTCAAGCAATCCACCCACCTCGGTCTCCCAAAGTGCTGGGATTACAGGAGTAAGCCACTGCACCGAGCCCCCAAATTTCTTGATGTCAGGTAAAACATCACTGAGAGGTGACATTTGAACCAAGATGGTATATATGTCACGGAGTCCCGCTGGGCATGGTGGCTTACGCCTATAATCCCAACACTTTGGGAGACTGAGGCAGGAGGATCACTTGAGCCCAGGAGTTTGAGACCAGCCTGGGCAACACAGCAAGACTCGATGTCTACAAAAAAATTTTAAAATTAACCTGGCGTGGTGGCACGCGCTTGTGGTCCCAGTTACTCAGGAGGCTGAGGTGGGAGGATTGCTTGCACCTGGGAGGTCTAGGCTGTGAGCAATGATCATGCCAATGCACTCCAGCCTGGGTAACAAAGCGAGACCCTGTCTCAAAAAAAAAAAAAAAAGAGTCCCACGCAAAGACCCGGGGAAGGGCATTTCCCAGCAGAGGAAATAGTGCACAGGTGCAAACAGTCAGAAATGAGTTTGGTGTGTGTGTGTTTAAGGACTCAAAAGAAGGTCAGTGGAACTAGAGCCAGTGACATAGGGGCTGCTGGTGGGCAAAAAGGAGAGGGGCAGGCAGGAGCCACGGCCAGGGGTGCAGGCTGGGGTTTTACCGTGAAAAATGATGGGAAGTTCTGGAGAACTCTAAGCAGAGAAGGGAGAGGATCTCCCTTTTTTTTCTTTTTTGAGACTGAGTCTCTCGCTCTGTCACCCAGGCTGGAGTGCAGTGGCACAGTCTTAGCTCACTGCAATCTCTGCTTCTCAGGTTTAAGCGATTCTCGTGCCTCAGCCTCCTGAGTAGCTGGGATTACAGGCGTGTGCCACCACGCGCCTGGCTAATTTTTGTATTTTTAGTAGAGTCGGGGGTTTCACCATGTTGGCCATGGCTGGTCTTGAACTCCTGGCCTCAAGTGATCCGCCCACTTCAGCCTCTCAAAATGCTGGGATTACAGGTGTGAGCCACTGCACCTAGGGTAAGGATCTCACATTTTAAAAGACTCTTTGGGCAGCTGAGACTCTAGTTATTTAAAATGACTACAGGCAAGAACCTAAACTTCCCACAAAGAAGCTTTCCTTAGAGGAGTTCAGGAAATAATCCTGAAGCCAGAAGCTGGAAAGAAAGAATGACAGGGAGAGATTGGCACAATGTGGAGCATTGAGAAAGCTCCTGCCTCTGGGAGGGAGTGAGGTTGGCTCAACCACTCTTGGGAACTGGTAGAATCTACTAAAACTGAACATTCCTCCACCCTTCGACCCAGCACTTCCGCTCCAACGGCAAGGCGAGCACAAGTGCATCAGAGGATACGTGCAAGACTGTTCATAGCGGTGCTATTATTTCCTGTAACCTGGAAACCACCCAAATGCCTAGTTGTGGTAGAATGGACCCATTGTGGTCTATTACTCCAATGGAATACTGAACTGCAATGAAAAGAAATAAACTACTATTGGATGGGCACGATGGCTCATGCCTGTAATCCCAGCACTTTAGGAGGCTGAGGTGGGCAGATCACTTGAGGTCAGGGGTTTGAGACCAGCCTGGCCAACATGGCGAAACTCTATCTCTGCTAAAAATAGAAAATTAGCCTGGTGTGGTTGTGCATGCCTGTAATCCCAGCTACTCGGGAGGCTGAGGCAGGAGAATCACTTGAACCTGGGAGGTGGAGGTTGTGATGAGCTGAGATGTCGCCATTACACTCCAGCCTGGGCAACAAGGGCAAAACTCCATCAGAGAGACACACAGAGAGAGAGAGAGAGAGAGAGAGAGAGAGAGAGAGAGAGAGAGAGGAAGAAAAGGAAAGGAAGGAGGGAGGGAGGGAAGTAAGGAGGCAAGGAAGGAAGGAAGGAAGAAAGGAAGGAAGGAAGTTAGTTAAAGTTAAAAAAGAAATGTGAAAAGGCAGGAATGGGTGCTGCATTTCCTTCTAGGGCTGCCCTCATTGAGCCATTCGATTCCTGGGTGGGCAGAGGGCCAGGGCCTCAGGCCCAGCCCAGGGAGGCCAAATGCCAGGGCTCACGGTCTCCCCAGAGTGGGTTGGCAAAGAATGACAGGACTGGTTCCCCAGCCCGGAATCTAAGCTGAGCTTGCAGCCTTCGAGCTGGGAGGAGTTTGCGACTGTCTGGCTGCCCCGCTTCATTCACTGAATTCAGAAGCACCTGTGGGGAGCCTCGCTCATGGATAGCCGGGTACCCGCCCTGAGCTCTGCTGCCTGGACACTGAGCCCGATGCGGGATTCCTCTCCCAGCAGCAGGGAGGCGCTATTATTACTTGATTAATTTGCAAAACAAAAACCTGGCTGGGACAATTGAAGGAAGGTTCTCCCAGGGTGAGTAAATCTGAGACAGGACCAGAAGAATAAACTTGGGGAAGAGGAAAGTGGCTGACTCTGGCGTTGAGCCCCGGCCTTGCCGGGGACCCCGACTCTGCTGTTACGCAGGGAATGCTGCCCGGAATCCACCGGTGGCAGGTGGGGGATAGACGGCTCTCCCCTCCGTCTGATGCCTGCTTCTATTCTCCTCCTTGAGAATCAATTGGGAGAAAGACGTGGGTGTGGGTTTTTCCCTCTTACTTCTCAGTCCAGCTGGGGGAGACTGGGGAGACATGACGCTCCATCCCCCAAGCCTGAGCCCCCTCATGAGGCATCCAAGAAAAGGCAATGGGTCCCCAGGACAGGGCCTGGACCTCCCCCTTGCTCACCCGGCCCCACAAAGCCCCACTCAGCTTCTCCACCGCCTTCCTTGTCTACAGACTTCAACCTCACAAAACGCCAAACAAAAGCCCTGCAGTCCACGGCCCAAAGGCCACAAGCCAGCTATTGTGACATTCAAGCTGGCCTGGGAAGCTTCACTTCCCACTCTCAGGACGTTTTTTAAAGTATTTCTTAAAAATGCATCTCAGCTGGGGAAGGGAGGTAGCAATTCTGTTGCCAAGGAAAATGAGATTTTGGCCAGACGCAGTGACTCATGCCTGTTATCCCAACACTTTGGGAGGCCGAGACAGGAGGATGGATTGAACCCAGGAGTTCAAGACCAGCCTGGGCAACACAGTAAGACCCTGTCTCTACAAAAAAAAAAATTAAAAAATTAGCCAAGT